GCTAGGATTGGCGTGCTCTTTGTTTGTCTACGTGGTTTGTATCTGGGATTTTGACTCTGCCACTTCTCCCTATTCTGCAGGTATCGGATGTCCAACAGAAAAGAACCCTCTCCTCTTGTGCCCTATCCCGTCTCGTTCAGCCGATTCCTGATAAAGCTGCACTGTGATTTTATTTTATATTTAGTAACAGGACGCACCGACTGGTTTATTACACAGAACCATTCGACAAGCCATCATCGAAAACTGTACTTGATGGGATGCACCGACTTTTAAATCAAATGTTATGCCGAAGCGAGTTGAGGGATGAGCGAAGACATATTTTTCATTGTGTGTATGTTGTTCTTTCAATGAATAAATCTGCATCAGTTCCACGATAAAAGATTACGCCGCTGCCTCTCTGCGCTTTCCGTAAGGGTTGTTTAGAGCAAACAGTCGCCCCTTTGTTACGCACACGGACCACACCGGTACCTGTCAGTCACTCTTCACGGGATGCTGATGGTCTGGAAACAAACGCATTACTTTGAGCCTTTGCAGATCGTGTGATCTCGTGCTGCTGTGAATGTATTGGATAAAAATGGCAGGAGCTAAGAATTGAAAACAAGTCTGCAGGTAATGTATATACTTATATATAGGCTATGTATCACTTAGAAGCTGCATGGAGGTATATTTACATACATACACAAACAACACAAGTGGTTCAGCTTGCAGAGTATCAGGCTCAGGTCGGGTTGGACAGAAAAACAATATGTGTGTCAGGTTTTGGGTCGGACTCCTGTGCTACTCTCTTGGAGAAGCCACAATAAAGGTGTTTAAATGGATCCGGTCCACAATTACTGATACTTTGTGTGAAGCCTCAATTACATAAGTATACATAAAGGGAAGCTACAGCTTAACTGTATCAGACCCTTTTCTGTAATGATGCTCCTTACCGGCCTGATTTCCTAAAACTTTAGATTCTACCTGAACCCAAACCCTAAAAACGTCTTTCACAAGGCGTCAGGTCTCAGATCAAAAGTCGTCAGACTCAAGCGAAACGGATTCAGTGTCCGAAAAACCTCTGTCATCCTCAGACAAAACTCCGTCAAAAGATTTAACAGTATATATGTAACTCTGCTCATTGCTTCTGTTAGTTATTAAATTCTTTATCATTTTTAAACTCCATAACTTCTGGTCTCAGAAGGGGCAACTATAGAACTACTCTAGAACTCCACACTTCACTTGCTTTTTCATACATTTTCAACTCCTATCTACAAATTCCTGCTTGGTTCACGCAACAAAACATTCCACATCTTGCAGATATCATTGCTTTTACTTTTAAACCCAGCAATGTAGTGTCAGCTTTTCAAAAATCCAGCAGTCACAACACAATTCCGTTGTCCTCCTCCGGTTCCTTTTACTGCCACTGTAATAAAAAACAAATGTAACAACCATAAAGATGTCCAACATGTAAAATAGAAGCACTGCTGAACGTCATTTATCTAAACTGTGACTAGACTCCTGTCTCGCCCACTATGGCTTTAATTTGACTGTTCTGCGCGAGAAATCCTTCCACCTCCAGCAAATGAGCTCGCTGGGTGCCGTTTTTCCGAGGTTACTACTGTTTGTGTCCAATTGGACGTCTCCCGCGCCATTTCCCCCCCCCCGATAAAGGCTCTGCACCACTTCCTGCTGACCTCTCGGAGCGTGAATGCGGGGCGACGGCTGGCATTGTAATATGTTGACAAGCGCAAATTGAAAACAGCGGGGCCACGCCGGAATCCTGCAATCTGCAGAATGGGTCTAAATTATAGAGCAAATCCGGGCTGACATTCACGTCGCTGCCGGTCCGTGCTCTCTCGGTTCTCTTTGCACAGCCCTGCTGCAGACAGCATACATGTCGACAAACGTCCAAGCAGGGATCCGGGCAGCTCTGATTCGTTGATTTCCTCTCGTGTTTTTCCCCCGTTCAATTTAAGAGATCGGTATGAGCGGGCCGTGCGAAGCTAGTATTTCTCCACGGGTTCTGCACCATTACAGCGATATTCCTTGATGGTTTCTAGACGTTTTCGGGAGCCGTCAGCTGAGGATCAGACAGTCGTGACCCTGATAGCAGAACCACAGCAAACTCAGAAACTTAATATCGCAGCATCGCGCTTCCTTTCCCCCTCGCCACAAGTCGCCCTCGTCAAAAAACACTCATCAAACCCTTTGAATTGACTTCTAATGTTGGAATGTTCAGGTGGGAATAGTCCCCGACTGGAGGCGGTCACATCAATGAAATGACACATGGCAGAGGAACAGGAAGGAATCTGACAGCAACAAGATTACAGCACAGAAGCCTTGGGAGTGCCAGATGGGTTGAAGTGAGCAGGGAACACAACTTTAGTTCCCTACATGTCTTAAATGCAGGGGAGGCATTAACAGACTCGGGGAGAAAATTAAACAGAACCCTCCTGACAGAATTTCACCTCAGCCGCTTTAGAATTTGAGGCAGTTTCAGTTGTGCTAAAGTTTATTGCATGTCTTTCAGATATAGATAGATAGATAGATAGATAGATAGATTGATACTTTATTGATCCCTCAAGAGGGACATTTTGGTGTCACAGCAGCATGTACAGGAAAGAAAATAGAATAAAAACATACACATTATATACAATATAGTAAGAGAAATATTAAATTATTAAATAAAATAAAATAAACTGAAACAAAAGAATAACCTTCCAAAAGAGACAATAATAGTAATTTGTAAAAGGAGAAGAGGAAGAGGAAAGAGCAGCAACATCACAGCAGTACAGGGTTATTATTGTCATTATTTAGCCAGGGATGATTGATTGTAGAGTGTTATTGCACTGGATATGACAAATAAATAAACATTTTGATCATCATCATTAGTTTAGGCTACTTTTAACATGAAAAGGTCTTAGCTGTGTGTTAATATGCAACCTAGAATAATGCTGAAACCTTTTTGTAAACTCTACTTTTCAATTATTTTAACATCTATAGAGGTCTATGATTGAAGTAATATTAATAATTTGTAGTCATTATTTCTTTAGCAAGTACTTTCGTTTTTGTGGGAGGCCTAAATAAGAAAATATGATTCATTCAGCCATTCCCCTTTAGATGTAGGCATGTAGGCTTATTAGGCCGCATAAGCATATCATCCCCTGCTATACGTTTGCAAAGATGCACTATATTTTTTTGTCTTCAGGGGGTTCATGCAGGTATTTTTTGACTGTCAGTGTGAAAAAAAAAACATGAAATCATGTTTTGGTGGAAACCAAACATTCAAATATAAAGAGTTTGAGTATCTGTCTCCTTGTACGGTAAATTAAAATCTATTCATTTCCCTTGGCTGTGTCCTGCAGCACCCAGCACATCTGCTGTGCCTTAGTAGATAACTCCACCCGTGATCTCGAAGAGACGACTGCAGATGAACTAGACGACTGCATTCGAAGATGCCTAATTACCTCTTTTTTTTACTTGATAAAAGGCCCAAAAGCAGCGTATTCGGTTGCCTCGCCGCTTCGATGCTCCTGGGGCAGCGGTTACAGAATGCTGCTACAGTCTAATTTTAGAGCGTGAAACAGTGAGCAGCATCCCAACGCAGACACACCGCCATCCCTGGCGCAGCACACGCTTCGTAATGGCGGAGCGGGCGGTGCTGTAGCTGCCGTGATCACTAAGCAGACGCTGCTGTTTTCGCCCCTCACCGCTTTGTGTTGTTAAGGCAGGTAACCCAGACAACCTGACAACGTACACAAATGGGAGGCAGGCGGGAGGGCGTGATTAATGGTTCTCAATAAGGACGGGGGCCCCAGAGGAGTGAGGGCCGGAGCATCCGGGCTTATAAATCCCAGGGATTCTGGGAGGAGGGAGGAAGGGAGGTGCAATCACGGGTACCCCAGGTGAATATAGGGGGAGGGCAAAATAAATATTACCGTGAAACTTCCCCATGTTGATTATGTCAAGACAATCACGAATGGTATTGCAAATATTTTGCAAATGTTTATGCAATTAGTCATTGTAGGAAAATGTGAGTTTCTTCTTGTTGACTTATTATGGTCAAACCTTCAGTTTTTTTTATCTTCAGAAAATTCTCTTATTAATAAATATCTTTAATTGAGTTGAATGAATGAATCCTCAAACCTTCCGATTGGATAATAATGAAACAGAACAATGAATTGAATTTTTAAAAGGTGAAACGGGTTAAATGGTTAAACCAAAAGATCTTCACCGTGCAATGACGATAGATTTGAATACTGCTTTAATTCTCTGAAATGTTATGTTTATATGGACATTAAAGGCTAAATTAAGATTAGTTCTATCCTGCAAATGTGTTTGTTGAATCAAAGATAAATCTACAAGCTCAAATAGACAAAGCAATAAAATAAACACCTAAATGTGCTTGTATTTTTTAACATCAAGTGTCCTGACATTTTATTGAAGCAAAATGTCTTAATATCTGATAAGTGACATTGAATGTCCCCCCTGTAGATCTGAGAAACAAAGAGAAGAAGAATGACTCCTGTTTTTGTTACACATACACATCCTGCAGGCTACGGTGTCTCCATTTAGATGATAGACTTGCTTCTACTGTCAGCTGCTGTGTTGTTAATGAACCCGTGGGACTGAAGATTCTTTGAATAATCTGTGACAAGTGAGAGCAGCACACCTTTCTGTTAATGACAATTCCCATATCCGCCACTCTTTCCCCTGAAAAGCCTCTTTTCTCACCTCCGAAATTGAAAGTTTCTGTATCCTGAGCCGGGGGGGAAACTTCACAGACTGGTGGGTGAAGATATTCTCAAATGCTCAGTCTGCTGTCCGGTTTAAAATACATTGCCAACTCGCGTGCATGCGTCCTCCATTTGATGCCACGCGGGGACTGATTGCACGCATTCAAACAATGTAAACGCACATTTCTGTGCACCAAGGAACCCCCCCCCTCCCCCACTATAGTGATGTGGACCGTTCCTCCCCCCCTCCCTCCGCCCCTCCGCATCCAGGCGAGGCGCGAGCGGTGCGCACAGCGCCAGACGGACCGGAGCCGGTGACAGTGCGGTTACGCAGCGGAGCGCACGGCTGAGGACTCTGTGCAGCGCAACTTACACAAATGGATATTTACGTGGCTTTGTTATACCTCTGCTTTTTCGCCAAACCAGGTAAGAACACGGCGCGTGGCGGTCTGTTTTACCCCAAAGAGGGACTTCTGCTGCGGGGGACGCGCGCCTTTCTTTGCGTATTCGCCGCTTCCTCAGTTTGCAGCTTGCACCGCGAGAGAGTCCGATTTGTTTGGTATCTCCGGACTGCGGTCAATTGCGTCGTTTCCAATCACGTGCGGTTTGTTGAGTTGATGTTTGAGGAAAAACCGGCATACCGTTCTTTTCTTTTTGGTAGAATAATGCGCACGTTGGCCCCACACAGGTGTCGGCTGCGGACAAACTACGACCCCCCTCCCAACACACACACAGACACACAACTATAGCAATTTTAACTCCGTGATCATCTCAGTCTTATGAAATGAAATCCGCTTGGTTTCCCCTCGGCAGGCTGTTAACACGAACTTCCTTCCCTCATAACCTTGATTTCTCTCCCGCAGCTCTGGCTTTCGGATCCGATCCGGACTACCAGATCGATATCATCAATGAACTTGACCTGGCAAATGCCACCTATGGAATTACCCAGGTGGCGGGGCTCCACAACGGCACCAAAGCCTTCCTGTTTCGAGGTAACGCACGCACGCACCCACCCACCCACGCACGCACGCACGCACGCACGGCAGTCCCTCCCGTCGCTACAGTCGCGCCGCTCAAGTTCCCCAAACGCCTTTGTCTCCGCCGTCGCACGCAGCGCGCGCCCCGTGTTTCGCGTAGTTGCCACGCGGCGCCGCACCTTTTCTGGTGCCACACAGTGGCAGCCGGGCTGCAGAGAGGCGGCACTCCGGGGAGCCTCCTCTCATAATTAACTCCACGTTTAATTTGTCCCGAGCAGCAGATGCTCTTTTTGGACCCACGTGTGCGCCTTCGTCTGTGGAGTGTTTTCCGGATTCCAAACGGCGTCCGGTATTTGAGCCCAACGGCCGGTGGATGTGATGTGCGAGGACCCTGAAGGGCGCACAGCAAAGGGCTAGTTTCGGTCCATCAAAGCAACGCAACAACACAACTCTATCCTATGATAATTGTGGGTACGAGTAAGGGCTGTGTTGATGTTGTGTATCAGAAGACAACCTTGCTTACTATTTGGATAGGACACTTTATTAGGGGAGCTGACTTAAGCAGAGGATCAATGGGAGTAGAAGTCTTATATAGAAGTCTTCCCCCTAAAAGAGGGAAGACTTATAGAGATTTCTGGCCGACTGCGCAAGAGAAACACTGGGATTGTTTGATTCTTGCCGTGTGCTTCTGCTTTGTTTCCTGCTTGGCTGCAGCAAATACAGAAATATGTTCTCATCCTGACTTTTACCAACACGGACGAAAATGCAATGTAGAGTCTTTTTCACTTTTCTGGCATGGAAATATTCAAAAGATACTGGCACAAACACCGGCAGCTTAAATCCCAAATAAGCAGCGCAGGGTGCTGAATACGACCGGGATGATTGTGTGTGGCTTTATTCCCTTGAGTGCTTGGCTCAATGTGCCACTGGCTCTGTGTGAATGAAGTTTAGGTTGCTGCTTGGGCGACCGTCGATTTGAGGCTGTCCAAGATCTAGTGCTGGAGGCCCCGAGGGATACACAGCCTGACTTTTTACTTGACACACACACACACACACACACACACACACACACAAGCCCACTCCAAGCTGGTGTCCCCGTGGTTTCAAGACTCCAAGGGTCGAGGTGCAGCAGCCAGATAGTGTGGGGAAACAGGACTCTTAATCCTGCAGGAAACCCGGACCTGTGGGTGTTGGACCAGGGGGGATTGTGTTGTGACCTATTTAACACTCTGCCCGCCCGTGTGATGCATTTCTGGCCTGTGATCCAGATGGCTCCACAGCGCAACTGCAGCCAAAGCTGCTGCGAGTTGTTTTTAAAAAAACGGAATGGTCGATGTCCTAATTGGTTGCAACAAACGGTCTGATCACCGGCCGAGTTGAAGCCGCGCTCGATTGGGTCAGTGATTATTCAAGAGGATTCACGTGTGCTGTGCGCAATCATGTGCGCTGAACTCGATGCCATATTTCACCCGTGTTGATTGCGAACATTGTGGTGGAACATATTCTAATGCTCATCAAACGGCTGGGAGAAAAGAGGCCGGTGTTGTAATTAGTGTCAACAGCAATGGGAGGGAAAGCGAGGGATCCGGCGGCGCATTTGGCTGGACTCTGGGACCAGTCTCTCCGGTCTGGAACAGATGGCTTGTTTTTCTCTTACATTTGGACTTGGGTAGTGCACCAGTGCCATCAACGAAAGGCAGACAAGTGCAGCCCCCCACAAATGGGTCCTTATCTGCACGTGTATGAATTGAAAAGAAAGCGAAAAACACTACAATCCCCGCACTGCGATAGCGGGGTAACGAAGCTCAGCTAATTGATACGACATCTGTTGTAGTACCCTGATTTTTTTTGTTTTTTTTGTGGTGATTGCTTTAGATTGTGGGAATGCCTGTGATGTATTGTATGGAGTTTTACTTTGTCTGCGAGCGGGCTGACCTAGTTTTTCAGCCTGCATTTGAACCCGGATTGTAAACCTCATTATTCAGACCTCCCCTCTGTTCCAACGGTGGTTTGGATTTTGAGCTCTTCTAATATCGATGATTGGTTTGAAATTCGGTCCCACACTGAGGGGGGGGGGGGGGGGGACGGGGGGGGGTCACTGGGATCTGTTGATCGTTTTTGTTTGGTTCAGAGTGAAATGGCTTCAAAAAGACGCTGGCAATGATCATACTTGGCTTTCCTCAGCAGACTGCTAGTATGATGCCCAGTTCCTATAGGGAGTACGATAAAATGGTGTTGCATAAAATACAGAATTCTATTATATTCAGTGCAACCCGTACATTCGATTTGTGTCTTTTAACCAATACTTGGCTGCCAGCTTTATGCAAAGGTTAAAAAATGAGTGTTTTGTAGATTGTAACGTTATTTTGTTGTAAAAACAGGGAAAAAGTCCAGAATTGTTGTTATTGAATCTACAAAGGACAGTGACGTTGACAAAGGAGTGATGTTGAAGTGCATGGGATTAATGTTTTTAATCTTTGGATTTCAACGGCATTGGCATCTGCAAGATTCTGTAATTGTGACATCGCTCTGTCTAAAACTTGAAGTGGATCCAAGCACTTTTTTTTGTCAGCTCTGATCATCTGGTACGTCCTCCCTTTCCTAACGGGGAAATGTGTTTTTGGAGTGTTAATGTGAATCGTGTGAAGTCTTTTGAACTGGGATTGCTTGTTAATTGGTGCCACTTCGTGCTGTAACCAGTTTTAGTGTTATATTTTCTATTTGGGTGTGTCTTGTTGGTCCTGGGATTCCTGTTTGGATCTGTTTTTTAAAATTGTGTTTGTTTGTTGTGTGTTTTCATGGGTCTGTTTCAGACCAAGCTGTAGTTGGATGAAGTTAAACTTTGCGGAACCGTGTCAGACTGTGTCTGCGACTAGCTCAAACTGACCGTGACGCCCTAAAATGACCACTGTACTTTTTAGCTATAAATATCACTTTTTCTTCTATCCTGTATAAAATTAAAACACTTAATATATATTTTCTGTTTGGTTAGAGCATTGTATTTTTATGTATCTTATTTTTTAACTGGTCTTAATTGTGTGGTATTATGTGAATTAAACTTCCTTTAGGTAATTGTCACATGACCAGAGTAAAAATATGCTTATTGATTTTCAAGTGATATTGCGTAATTTTTTTGTATTATTTTGTCAGTTAAGATTACTACATTTTTATTTTACCATAAGATTCAAGACCGCTACATCTAATTATAAAAGTTTATAATTTCCAGGTTATTTAAATCTTCTGAAAACCGTTCCAATAAATAGATCAGACAGACAAACTCGTCTGGTCTGTATAAATCCCACTGAATCTTTTATATAAAATCATTCATGTTAAACAGTTGATATCCCTAAGATCGATCATCACACCTCTTATCATCCTGTTGGCCCATTTACCTTAACATACAACTACTCTGCAGTCTTCAGGTCTGAAATGCTCCTTAATTAACGTTTGATCCACATTCTTGTTGATTCCAGTGGAAACCTTTTTTCCCCACTCATCTGAAGTGGAAATTGACCCTTCAACGCCTCACGACTGTCAGATAAAGACCCGCAGCTGGAACATTAAAGAACCAGTTGAAAGTAACAGCTTCACGTTCTCAAAAGCCATCGTAGGAAATCTTGATTCAAAGATGTATCGATTGGCGAGTAAGTGTACATTTAAACTGTAAACACACACACACACCGTATACATCAATGTTGCTTTCTTGTGATCCCAATGTCATGTTAGTCCTTTTTAAAGTGAATCCAACACTCAAAAGAAACTCAATCATTAACACATCTGGTTTGTTTACTCCAAATACAGAAACCAAAATGTTTTACAGGAACGTGTGTGTAAACCACAATTTGTTATCACATTTTAGGTTTTTGTGCTGATTAAACAAACACTGTTTAACGTGTTGATTTAATAAGTGAGCTTAATTGGAGATTTTTCCAAATTGTAATTAGCTCTGTTCTGGATCTCTCTCTCAAAATGTATAATGATGGTGCACAGAGAAAAAAGCACTGCAGATGTGTTCCAGTCACATTGCCTATTAACTTATATTTGTTTGAATATGATTAAACTACTGAATGCTGACTCTAACCTTTTTTGAGCGCATGTGCTTTCCTGGCAAATTTGGATTAGTTCCACAGCTTGCCTTATTGTCACAATCAAAATGCAGTAGTAGTTTATTTGATCTGTTTCCTATTCCACCGACTGTCTCTAATTCAAATATAATGTTTCCAATTATCATTTTAATTGACCCTTAGGAAATCCAAGCCCCCTGCTGCTCTGTAGAGTTGGCAGAGTTCGAGTCCAGGCTGCCACTAAATGCACTCGCCTGCATGATCAGATTCTGAAATAGCGAAGAATACTTTCACATAGAGGGCTCTACATTATGTTTTTGGAGGATGCATTCATGATGCATGAATGAATCAAACAGATTCAGAAGAGAAAACCGGTTAAATAGATAAGCCTGCTGATCGCAATTTAAAAGTCAACCAATCGTCAGCTGGCTGCGAGAGAGACGACGACGAAATGAAGGCACTGTAACTCTGTTTCTACTAATCCGCGTGGGTCATTATTCAGTTACAATCATTAACACTTAAAAACAGCATGTGCATATATTCAGTAGCCATTAGTTCCCTGGTTTTCTTAAAAGGGATAACGTAGATGAAAATGTGCTAAATCCACAAAACCAGCCTGACAATGAAGAAAATCTGAAACGACTGCAAGGGAGTCCGCGAAGAGTCGATGAATCGCAGCCTGTATTTTGGCGGTTTGATGCTGCGCTATGATTGGCCAGTCTGCAATCAAGGGACAGGAATGTTTAATTAAAAGCCACGTGTTCCAGATTTCCGAGTCCAACAGCCCTGAATGGTGCTTTCATCCATGGAGCTGTGATATGAAGCCGCCCCTGCAAACTGGTGATTCTACTGCTAGCGACCTCGAAGATTTCTGTTCAAATTTCAAGTCTGGTTAATTTGGGAGCCTTTTGGATTTTCCATTACGCCTCACAAAGCAGACTTGTAATCGCA